AGAGTCAATCTGAACACAGGAAAACCAAGACAAATGGATGCTCTTTACCCTAAATAGGATACATGGTAATAGCTGACTCCTAGCATTTATCTCAAAGTCACATGTTCCCCATGAAAAGATGACAGACACTTTTTCTATTTTCTAGAATACAGGGACCAAGAGAAGCATTTAAATGACATGTCCCTTTCCCCTAGCCCTTGGATGTTCTGCATGAACAACCTTGATCCCACAGATCCAGAGACAGTCCCTAAAGACAACATGAGTGATCTCAGCTCTTTAATCAAAACCAAACCACCACACCAGCTAACCAAAAAAACCTCCAAACCAAAACCCAGTGCAGAATCATTCTGTATTATATCAAAGCCCTTCAAGCTGGTGATTGCCATTTTGCAGAGGTACTGGCATAATGTCAGTTCTCTCACACAGGTTCTTTGGTGTCTGTGCTCTATCATGATTTATACCTCCTAATCACAGGGATGATCACAGGATGCATCTGCTCCAGCAGTCTGGCAATGCTTTGGACAAGCTCTTTTCTGCAAGCAGTGTGAGTGACATGCTCATGCTGTCAGATCTTGGTCTGTCAGACACATCCCTGACTCGTCCTGACCCATGGGCTATGTGAGGACAGCTACAACAAAGTTTTGCTTTTCTAAGGCTAAGCAGAGATCCAGGGATGACTGGGAGGGCATCGTTTTGGATATTTGTCTACATCAGACAGTGTCTTCCAAACTGCTGCAGGGTCCCAGGAATGCTGAGCACTCTCAGCAGACTGAGCAGTTTTGGAACCACAGACCCATTGCCCAATATCTAATAGGTCATTTTCTGATTTACAATGGAAGGAAGGTCATTTTCTGATTTACAACGGAAGGAAGGTCTGATTTACAATGGAAGATTTACAATGAAGAGAAAATCGTCACTGGTAAAATGATTAGTTGAGGTGTGTGTTTTAAAAGAATCATCATTAGACAAACTGCCTTTGACCACAGAAAGCACAGAGTTAGTGTCAGAAAAGTGATTCTGAAATTCTTTCACAATAAGTGGTGGTTACTGTGGCTTTTAAATGTCCTCTACCATCTTTTGATATACTTTTTCTGACTAGTAAAATATGCACACTTCACTACCATGGAAGAAAAATCAGATAATTAAGAAAACTGTTTTTCATGATAAATAGATATGGTTATGAGCACTATTATAAAGGTTTTTTCCCCTCTTCCCTTTTTGATTTTATTTGAAACATATTTTCTTTCAGGTAAGGATTAAAATGTTGTTTCAAATTAAATAAAATGTTTTGTTCTCAGATTATCTAAGTCCCGTGTAAACACTGGGAAATCCTGATATGACAAGTCAGAACATTTTATTCAGAAAACACTGAAATTAATATTTTCATATTACTACAACAGTTTTCTTTTTTTCTTCCTTTTTTTTTTTAAATTTGACCAAAATTCTTAGTTCATTTTGACACAAATTAACAAGTTCTTTGTTTTATGCAACCTTAGGGAACTGAAAGTGTAGAATTGTTACCTAACTGAAGTTACAAGAGCAGCCTCTTCACAGAAGCAGCTGGAGTTGCTATTGTGGAGCAGCCCCATCACCACAACAGCAGCCAGACCATTGGGAAGGGAAATTAAAACTAGACAGTGAAGCAGACAAGATAAGCCACAAGGAGTAGAAAGGATCTGCATGGAAATGGGGATGGTCTATTTATTAGGAGCTCTGACTGAATAGTCAGCAGTTTTCTCATTGCTGTTTAATATGATCATAAATTAGGCTGCATCCAGAGAAGTTAATGTGAATTTACTGTCTGAAAAAGAGGTCAAGATGAAACACTAAAGTTCTTTGAGAAGGTGCAGAAGGGATGGTGATAATTCAGCAAAGAGACATAGCACTGAATTTAGTTAAGACAGATGGAATAAATAAATCAAGTGAAAATATGGACATCTTAATCAACTTTTAAAAAACTACAGTGTGCCTCTCACAATCACAGGGCTATGCACCAGCCACAAACACAAGAAATGGGGAAAACAGAATCAACATTTAATAAAGGGCAGAAATCAAAGTATACATCCTCATAGCTCTAGCATTTTATTTTATTCAGAAAAGTGACAGGAAAGAAACTTCAGAGTAAAAAAATTACTTTGATGGTAGTCTGGAAGAACACACATATGTAAATCCAAACCTCTGTTTCTGAAAATCATGCAGCCACTTCAGGATACTGAAATCTTCACATTTGTTCAGGACTAAAACACATTTTTCCCAACCATATTTCAAAAAACAACCATCCACCTCAACTAGGATAATCATCCTCTACCACTGACCCCTGCCTCTTTTCCTTTTACAGCTCTCTCATTTCATACCCACTCAGATATAAATTGAAGGTGCATTGGCCCAGAGCAAACTCAAATCTAGTGGGATCAAGAATGTTGTCACAGGAGAGACAGACTCCATTCTGTTCATCTTCCAGGGTCACTCTTCTGCATTTTAGCCAGCTCTTGGGTAAAACACACAAAGCCACCATGGAAGCTCTGTGAAGTATTGCTGTGTGATATTTTTCTGCAAGGTACCAGCTGGTTTTGGGCCTTGGGTATCCTAATCTACAGCAGCTACACGGGGCCAGATGAAGGATACACAGGCAATGAAACTGGAAATTCCTGAGTCTCTGACCAGAAAATTCTTTTGGAAATCTTCACCCAGCATTTTAAGGCACCAAACACAAAAAAGCAATGTCTTGTAATCAGGCATGCCAACCTGAAGAGTAATTCTGAGAAAAATCTTTCCTCAACAAGAAAGACCTGATCAGTTGGTATGCTTTAGACAACCAACTGATTATTTAATTTTATCTTTGAAAAGAAAAAAAAAATCCAGCATATGTAAGTATAGCAACTTTACTAATTAGGCTGCCTAATCTTGGTTTTACTATTAACTAAACAGCCCAAAACAACAAGAAGTGGCAAATCTGATGGAGCAGCATAGTAAGAGAAGAGAAAGGTGTGCCTTGACAGTTGCCTTCTGGGAAGGGAGAGGAGATGGAAGGTGAAAAGGGGAGGATAGGAGCCAAAAGCAATGCTATGGCATACAGGAGTCATAAAATATTATCATGGGAAAGTCAAAGAAAGTTACAGGCCAACAGCAGTCTCAGAAGATGCAACCAAGGGATTCTGTACTACAGCTAATGAAGCAACTGAGAATGCCTTGAAATGCAGCCTGCACATAGAGCACTCATGGAAACTGAATAAAAATCTAGTATTTTGTTTTCTTTTTTCAAAGAAAACATCCAACTTTCTTCCACTCCACCAGTTCCATCCCAAGAAAATCACTTTATTTTCTATTTTTTTTCTTTTCTTCAGCGTAAACAAGTTCTATGTGCCACTAGCTTCAGAACTCAAGGCTTCTTTTTGTGTTTGAGCCTGTCCAGGAGCTCCCTGTTCATCCACACAGACCTCCTGGCATGTTTGCCAGACTTCCTCTTTGTTGGGGTGCATCACTCCTGAGCTTGGAGGTGGTGAATTCATGCTCATCATTTGGTAAAAACCAAAATAAACAAAACACCACCTCAAGCCTATTTTTCCCTTTGTGTTGAATAGGTCTTGAACACAAATGATAACAAGTCATCCCCAGCTTACACCTTATTTCAGCAACCATTTACCAAACTGCAAAAGGAGAAAGCTAGGGGGAAAAGGAATATCTGAAAGATCTCTGAATGCACTTCCTTCAGCATCCCCCTTTCCCTCAAGAGTTTATCACCTCTCATAGATGTGCCTAACTTAGAAACAATTAATGGTTCTAATTCCAAGAGCTGCCATTCATTCGTAGCACATTAGCACACAGGTGGGTTTTTTTAACACCTTCTGCTATACATAGATTCTTTCCCAATACATACTTTCATTATTTCATATATTCTGAATTATGTCCAAGGGTTATATTTCATCTGAATTTTTTTTTTAATTTTTTTTTAAATAGCTGGACTATAACTGAAATGGCAGAAATAACAAAAATCCCCATCCTAAATACTAATAATTAGTCCAGGGAATGGCTTATACATTCCTTACTAGTGAAACACACCCTCCTGCTGCACTCCATCCCCAAAAATGAAGAATTTTCTACTTTTAAACCAATAAATCAGAGCTGTTGTTTGTGCAATCGGCATTCTGGTTTGCATATTTGCCTTCACTTACACCTCTAGATTTGCTGCCTTTTGCTTAATATCAACACACAGAGCAGCTGTTAGGAGATAACATGCAGATGCATAAGTTACCATGAATGGCTCAGTTGTCCTACCCAATAAGAAAGGGATTGTGTATCTGAAAAACCTGTTGCCTTTAAAAACGAATAAAATTAGCATCATAGTAATCCTCAGTGCATAACATTTGCATAAAATTAAATATGGGCCTTCTGAAGACAGCTCTGCTGTCATACTAGCGGTCCTCTTCAAGTAACCAGCATCATCTGCATAAATAATACCCTGCAGTTTGCATTTGGAGTTAGGGCACCTCAGTTTGGGTGGTTGGCTGTACAATTGATAACTGCAATGTTGTTTGGTTTCTGTCTGCTGGAAGACTTCTGCTAAATTCATAAGCTTCAGATTGCTGTAATCTTGTAATCAAAAGAACACAGACAACCTTTTCCTCAGCACATGTTTCACCCCATCACTTGGGGATGGATTTGTGAGTCACTTTAAACTGTGTAGCTTTTGTCAAAGCCTTTTTTTCCCCCGCTAAACCAAAAGTGCAATAAAAACAAATGATAGCAAGAAACAAAACTACTACTTCATGCCTCCATAACTGCATTTTCCCACTTCCAGTAATAACTTGAATTTGGGCTTTTAAACTCACTTAGGAAACGCCATCATCATAAAACTGCACTGCTCAGGATTCTTTTTAACTACTTCTGCAGCTACCAAAACACCTCAAGGGAGCTGATCCTGCATCAGGAGGGGAGCAAAACGAGGCAAACTCCTGGCACCCCCCGCCCTCTCAGTGCCAGGTGTTTGTGTGGGGCCTTACCTGCTGGGTAGCGCTCGATGACGGGCCAGTTGTCCACCTGCAGGGTGGCATTGCCACCGCTCCTGGTGAAGCGCACCACGTGGTACTTCCCGTCGTTAATGATGGCGTTCATCTCCTCGATGGCGATGTCGTCCGTCCCGACATTAAACTTAACTCCAATTTTGCCCTGGTGCTGCAGAGTTGGGAGGGGGAAGGAAAAAAAAAAAAAGGAAAGGAAAGAGGAAGAAGAAAAAAGAACTAATTAGGAGTTGTTTTAGGAGGAATCGAGACAGTGTGTCGCACAGGGGGAAGATTTCTAACAAAGTCTTCCCTCCTCAGATGTAACTTCTGAAGGTTTGCATGTGGCAGTGACAAACCTTCTGACAGCTTAGGAAGTCTGGGACCTGTTTTTGAAGGGTAATTGATATTCCAAATGAGTTACTTCGCCAAATTGAGCTCTCTCCTTTTCCAAGAGATTCAGATCAAGATGAGGATGGTAGAAGATGGAGGAAAGCTCAAGGTTTCTGACTTTGTCCTCTCCCTCACCTCCATGAAGATTAAACAAAAATTTTCCTTTTAGACTTTCAAAACAGAAAGACTTGCAGCGTCACTTGAAAGAGATACAAGAATCTTCTGGCCATAAAAGCCAAGTTCCAGCCCTGCTTTTCCTTTTTTTCAAACCTCATTCATACTTAGAGCCTTCAAAAATGATAATAAAGAAGGAGATTTTTTTTTTTCTGCTTGGAGAGATTTTTGGCATCACATTGTAGTGATTTTGAATCATTAAGCCAAGATCACACTGGCTGATTAACAAGGACTTCCCTGTTCAGAGCCAGAGAGCAGGAAAAGGCATTTGCTGACGCAGGAATGTGGAATTGTTCTCACTAAGGCCAGACACTCTTTTTCTTTTCTTTTTTTTTTTTTTTTGCTGGGATTTGCCTATAAACTTCTGTGTTTGTGTGCTCTTAGGGCTAAGGGGACTTCCCATGCACACCAATAGCTGGGAGCAAAGCAGTAGATTTTCCAAATGATTGTCATATCAGCAGGTTTTCATATTTATTGACTTTTAATTATTAAAATGTTCACTCTAATGGGACACCTGCATTTTAACAAAGTTTTTTAATGTCTATTAAAGTTAACTTAAGGACTTTGCATTTTTTTAATCTCCCATAACATCAATTCTGCTCCTCAATAAAGGTATTTAGTACACTGAGGAGAAAAAAAGAAAAGCACTGCACAGTATGAGATGAGGGACTTATTCATAATAATTGGCAATTCTACATGAAATTTCATGTTCCTGGAACTTGTACATCCTTCTTTAAATTTAAAAAAAAGTTCATGAAGTTTTTACACAACCAGATGAAACACAATGAAATATTTTACTTTGTATGTCTTGCTCAGTCACATCAAATCTTCCAGAACCAGTTCCAGCTCTGTAGCAGAACTCTTGTGTCTGCTCTCTCTTTGCCTTACTACCCTAGCACTGCCTCCTGCAGTAAGTGCACTCTGCAGCTCCTTGCCTCTGGAAGTCCCCCAAGCAAAGAACTCAGGAGTTTGTCCACTTTATTTTATTCTCTTTTCAAACATCTGACTTTGTTTTCCAGCACTGCTTGCATGCTGCAGTTACACAGCTGAGCAGCTGCTCAGCACCTCTGCAGTTCCTCAGTGTTCTGGCACCACACTCAGCTCCCCAGCTATGACCTTTTTTGAAACAACTAAAGGACCATTCCCTCATGAGATTTGCAGAATGAGTCCAAAAAAATTTTTTCTTGGCTCAGTTGATTGAACAATGTTTTAAACATTCCTCTTTTTTTTTCCTTGTGGATTATTTTAATATTTCTCCATTCATTGGTCCTACTCTTTAGACATTCCCATGTCTATAGAGTGTCAATATGGGATCCACCTTATCCAATTCAGGCTCATCTTCTTTTGCCTCTGGTGTGAGTTGCATAGCAACTTCCCAGTTATCTTGGAAAGGCAACTGTAGTTCTTCTTAATTTCAGCTGCTTCAACTAGACTCAGAATAAATTTCACCCATTTTTTTTTTTCCCATGGATGCAGTAACATTTGTTTCACCTGTTTCATTCATATGCTTATTCTCTTTACACAGAAATATACACAAAGACACGTAACATTGTCCTGCTTTAAAGCAATCTCCTCTTTTACTAATTTTTGAAATGAAGAAAACCAGCACTTAATGATAATGGTGTATGCAACTTTTTCATAGTACTTTCAAGAAATCAAAGGGCTCTGAGGATTAGATAAAGCTGACTAATTTTACCATGATTCATAATTACACTATTCATAACCTACACTTTATATACCAGTTTTCTTATTTGCTATATATATGCATACACATATATTATTTTAGATATTTTAAAAAATGACAAAGGAAACAAAACAGCTTTAAAGTCAATAGAAATGGTGGGAGTAAAAACAAGTGGCACACTTATATCAGCAGTTTTCCCAAAGTTGGAGAATGTAGGACTGCAGCCAAGTTACCATTTACGAATGGCCAGGTATTGGCAAGTGAAATGAATGCTTTGCAGACTTGAAAGCAAACTTTCAGCCTTCCTTTATAGATATATACCTTCTAGTGAAAAAAAAAACATGTTTTCCTGACTTCCCTATGTTTGTACACAGATACTGTGCACAGAGACCAAGCATGCAGATGCAAGAGCAAATATCACCCTAAAAGCTGGTAACATATTACAGTGATTCTTTTGTCTTTAATTTCTTACACATTTCTCCAGCACCCGTGGGCATCTCAGTAACACCTCCATGAAACAAGGAAACAAGTCTGTGTTTCAAATTGAAGACTCCCTGATTATTATACCCATATTTAAGTTTGACTTCTGGACATCACATCAAACATTATATGAATCACAACCCCACTGTGCACAGCCCTTTAGAACCAGAAAACAAACATGATGCTGCAATAATCCCCTTTCTATGTAGATAGGGGGTTTCCTAAGCCATTGCATTATCATGCAGGAATTTGACTCACTGCATGCTCCCTCACTGCAAGGTAACATTATTTTTCATTTGTCTTTGTCTCATTAGTTTTCATCTGTCTTAGGTTAGACCATGTGCACACAGAATTATTGTGGATCAGCTGACATAAAGTAACCTGTTGAGATAACTTGATCTCAGCCCTCAGCCTTGTTAAGCTTAATCTAGTGGGCCTGTAGCCTTTTAGAAAGAGCTGGTTTTTATATTTCCTCTTTTTTGGGGGGCAATATAGTAGTGCAGAAAGGAAAGATACTGATAAAACTGAAGACTACTAAATTACTATTTTCACTTTGCCAGCCTCAGTTGCATAGTAAAGGGGTGGAAATTTTCCTGTATCACTCATTCATTCAAAATAATCTTAGAAGTCATCCTTCCTATCAGAAACAGCCTCAGACAAATGCTGAGTGAGAGGTTCCCTCTTCAGTGCCCTGCAGATGGGCACTACAGAAATGTCTGTGCATCACTAAATACTGCAATAAGTCAGCACTGCTGTTGAATGGTGCTATCTCTGCCAATGACCCAAAGCAGCACAGGCTCACATTCCCACAAACATTTTTTTGCCCAAAAGCAAAGATTATCATTTCAGAGCTCCCCTGGTAAAAATCAGCTGTGCACACACAGCCCATGCAAGTCCACTGCACTGTTTATGGTTCTCAGCCTGTGTTTTCTTTGTCTCAGTCTCACTCAGTTGTGAGAGAACATGGTAATGGAACCAATTCCTTTTCCTCCTGTGCCTCCATCTATTCCATACTGCTAAGGCCATAATAACAGAGCAGAGTAAGGCAGGAGAGTTTCCAAAAAGGCCAAAAGAGAGGAGGAATGCATTTCAACAAGTAGCTTAAACATTGGGTCTACAGAAATTATTTTGAGCCTCAGATCTGAAGGTAGTATCAATAATGCTAAATCCACCACATCACCACCCCTGCTCCCTGGGGCAATGCAGCACAGGGACCTTGAATTCATCCACACACTGAGCCCCAGCCAGCAACTCTCCAGAAACACCAAACTTTTGTTTTGGAGGTGCTTTGGCTGTCCTATTTCTGAGGCCAGGGTAGCTTTTATTTCTACCTACACAGACAGAGAAGTTAATTTGTTGTTGGCTTGTACATTACTGCAACATGCAATGTAGGCTTGGTGTATAGCTTAAATTCTGCTGTCCAAGCTCACAGGCTAAGGATAAATATGTTAATGGCTTCAAAGCAGTTGGATAAAACTGTGAGACAGCTCCAGTTCTATGCTTCTAATGTGCTCTGAAACGTTGGGAGCTTTGATTACTCTAACAGTGCAGGATGTGTATGTGTGCACGTGTACATACCAATCACTTCAACATGTTTTATCTTCAAAAGCTCTGGCAGCAACTGCTGTAATCTAGCAACTCCAGTGGAGTATTTTCAAGCTTGTTTTATGAATTGTGTACTCTAAATACTTAACAGACTTCTGATGAGGCACCAGGAATGCTGATGAACCTGAGAACCAAGCAATAAAGGTGGAATGCAAATCAAGCCAGCAGCTGACACTGCAATTTGTTCCCTGTTGGACTCTAGTTCAGTGCTACCAATCTGCCAAAATGCAGTAAAACCAATGCTATTATTTTATATATATATATATAATCTATATATATAGATATACACTCTCACACACATAAATATCTATATCTATATATAATTGATATTTCCTATAACATCAGCAACGCTTTGCTGCTCTCTGTAGCAATAACTCTGGAATTAGTCAAACATGAGTGATGCAAACTTGGCACAACAGTAGTTTCAGAATAGACTGCAGACAACCTAAGCTCATAATACTTACATCCCTTAACCACTTCCAAGGAAAAGCAGTAACACTGGGACTCCCACAGGTGGACAAATTGAGGAGAAAAAATTCAAGCGTGCCAGCTTGAATTTTATATCATCAGCCCCTGAGGCACCACTGTCTGGTGAATGCAGTAACAAAGTCTTAGAACTAACTGAAGGTTTACTTTGATTTTATTGAAGTGTAAGTTTCTTACAAGTTTTATTAAGAGTGAGATAATTTTCACTCAAATGTAATCGGAGCTTAATATTATATATTATAGAAAGCTGTGCAAAATAATTAAAATAATATGTGGGTTTCTCAGTCCTCTAAGGAGATGCATATTTTAAAATAGTAGTGCTTGCTTCAGGAGGTGAGGGATACACAACAGAC